GAGAACACAGAGACACGCCCTGAGGAGCGCAGGCGTGAGCCTTTGAATGGAAAATATCCAAGGGAAACCAAAATGTATGTGGATCGGAGTGCTAAAATGGAGACGAATGTTCATGACATATCAGGAATGGTGTTGGAATCTAACACACTCGTAAAAACAAAGAGGGCAACATTACGAGGCACAGAATTAAGTCGACACACTGACTCGGCAAATGTGCATGTAATCGCAGAGAGAGCGAATGCCACGAACCAAGTGTCAAAATGGGTCGTGTGCGCGAATTCTGGTTACGTGCAGCACAATTTTTCACCACACACTCCCACGACGCGAGAGAGTGAGAGAGGAAACTACAAAAACGAACCCGAAAACCGTGATCAAATTATCAAAGTGATAAGTGGTAAACCAGGCAACATGAGGAAGGTAACGCATAAATGCGTTCGAAACCGCTACCTAGCGTTTCCCAGGATTTAACAAAACAAAAATGAATGTTCGTCAGAGTTATGATGTATGAGAACCGATGTAACGCAATATCGATGTTAACGGGTTGTTATTTTCTTTGCTTAATTCAAATGTAACCAGGATTTAACAAAAACAAAAATGAATATTCGCCGGAGTTATGATGTATGAGAACCGATGTAACGCAATATCGATGTTAACGTGTTGTTTATTTTCTTTGCTTATTTCGGATGTAACCAGGTTAAGATGGTAATACGTGCACGCGCGTCGTAAGAAATAACCGCCGAGAGTAAGGGCGGCTGATGGGATTCATGACATAAAAAGGGGGCATTACTTTGTTTGAAAATTCGCCAGTGGCCAAATCGACCCCTGATAATTTTCAAACGGGCGGACTGTTGTGTATGTACCCCCTTTTTATTTTTTTTTAATATTATTTTTTTTTAAGGCTTATTCTGCCATCATATATAATATTGTTTTTTTAATAGACACGGGGCCACGTGGGAACGAACACGCCCCCACACTTCCACAGAGGCCCCACACTTCCACAGATGCGCGCATACCTCATTTCAAAGGAAAGACGGCATGAAAGAGGGTAATCAAGGTCATAAACTCCCCGAATTTCACACAAGAGGAACAAGGAATGGGGGAATTGCAGGCGGGGGGTTGCAGAACCAGGAGACACGGAGGAAGAGATAATTATATTCTTAACAAAGAAACAGCATCGACGACAAAAAGCACAGATGGGTCTTTGAACCATGTTAAATACACAAGTTACCAACTCAACCATAAAGATTAAGCAAACAGTATCCATCCTCACTCCAATTGAAAACCAAAAGACAATCTGCACCAGAATCGCGACCCATCATTGTTAATTAAGTACTGACATTATTTACCTTTAAAGAATATCTACACGGCCGGGCCGAAGCATCAAAGAATAATTAGGGCATCTATTTCGCTCCAAAACAAATTCCTAGCCGGGATATCAGATCAAATAATCACAAGAAGTCGAATAATAAGTACGGAATTAAAATAGAAGAGGAATCAAGGGCGGAGAAGGCTCTCAAAATTAACCAAACACAACACCCATGGGAAGCGAGCAACACGACCGCCTTTGTCTTTCCGAGAGGATCTCCACACACAGGCACCAAGCCAGGAAATGACACCCATAAAGGTTGGGTCCCGATGAAACATCGTGAACACGGTTTCGGCATAACTGTGCAGATGGAACCAAGCAGCAAATAAGTTGCATTTCAACTTCCAAACCAAACCAACTTAAGCTGTGTGAGACAAAGGATGTGATCCCAGAGCAAGGGAGGTAATAATTAAGCTCGCTTAACGCGTAAGTTTTCGCGACAAATATTATTCAGTAACATAACATGGATTCGAATGTTTTTTTATAACTCGACGCGAATCATCGGTCTGGCTAATGGATAACTTTGGTGGCACCGTCACGAGACCCCCACCCCTTTCTTCCAGAACGACACACACAGCTGTGTCTTCAAAGCTAATAAACACACGGACAAACACGCACGCGAAACACACGGACGGACACACACACGGACGCAGATGGTCCACCCCCACAGGAAGGTTTTATGACACAGCCTTTGAACAACTCGGGAAGCCGAGTGGAATTTTCCGATATAAACCGAAGGAAAATCCATACAAAGCATATCGTCCGGGCTTCGGCTCCAACACACATATCATCCGGGCTACGAGCCCATCTTCGGCTCCACCACAGATCGACAGGGGCTTTGGCCTCCATCACAGTTCGTCAGGGGCTCTGGCCCCCATCACATATCGTCCGGGCTTCGGCTCCAACACACATATCATCCGGGCTACGAGCCCATCTTCGGCTCCACCACAGATCTTCACGAGCTCCGGCCTACATCTCATCTCGTCTCCGGGCTAAGGCCCCACCAGAGTTCTCCAGGGCGACAACCATCTCTCCTCGTCGCCGCCAACGAAGAAGCTTTTCGTCATCCAGAAGGACGAGGATCGCGCGGTGCCGAGGCATCGCCTGCCGCGCACGAGTGTACGAGCCAGGCGCCCTTGCCGTGTCACCACGCCGAGGTGCATCGCCTGCCGCACACGAGTGTACGAGTCCAGCTCCCCTGCCGTGTCGCCACGCCGAGGTGCATCGCCTGACCACGCAAACGAGCGTGGCCGCGCGTCAGTCATCGTACGGGGTCAGCCAAGAAAGGAGTCGGAAAGCGAGCCGCTCACCCTCTCACCGCAGCTGCGCAAGCCAGAGGGTCCTTCTCCGAAAGTCGTTCGTACCCACAACTTCCCCCACCAATAGACCCACACACGCACGCATTGACGCCCCACTCACCTGTGAGACTATCCCATCTAGTTCACCCTTACCATCGTATCAACCCTAGTCAATTATCAGAAGACTGATTATCAACTACATGAACCATCAGCTGGCCATGCGGAATCGCGGCCCATCGAGTGATTAAGAGTCCGTCGGTTATAAGAGTAAAGTTGTTACCGTGTCTTTCCCTTGTTCCGCTCATCACATAGGCGATCAATAGACTCGTCAAGGCAAACTCAAACTCTCGGAATCCTCATTACGAATCGACCGAACACAGAGAGAGAATATCTTGTCAAACCAGTTTCCTTTGTCCCAGAGTCTCGCCGAAGAATTAATTACAACAGAGCCAGATTCGCTCTCGCGCCCACACGCCCTCACCCACCATTGTATCAAACATTCCGTTAAAAAGGATTTTAGACTTGCCGATGAATCTATTGACATATACTTTCGCCTCTGGGATACAATAAGTGCTTTTTATTACCGCCATATGAAGTGTGTCATGCTTGTTTTCAAACTCGACCAGTCGCCGATTGTGATCAATACATGGGCGAACTAATGATGCCTGGTAGAAAAGTAGAGGTTACAATTGATAGAAGTGTTTTTAGTCATTCAGTTCGTTAAATGCATAAGTGTTTATTCATTCATTTTAGTCAAATGCATAATCTCGTAATTGCATAAGAGTTTGGTTATTCATATTAGTTAATGCATAATATCGCAAATGCATAAGAATTTTTAGTCATTCAGTTCGTTAAATGCATAAGTGTTTATTCATTCATTTTAGTCAAATGCATAATCTCGTAATTGCATAAGAGTTTGGTTATTCATATTAGTTAATGCATAATATCGCAAATGCATAAGAATTTTTAGTCATTCAGTTCGTTAAATGCATAAGTGTTTATTCATTCATTTTAGTCAAATGCATAATCTCGTAATTGCATAAGAGTTTTGGTTATTCATATTAGTTAATGCATAATATCGCAAATGCATAAGAATTTTTAGTTATTCAATTTAGCTAAATGCATAAGTGTTTATTCATTCATTTTAGTCAAATGCATAAGAGTTTTCGTTATTCATATTGCATAATTGCATAATGTCACAACTGCATAAGTTTTTGTCGTTCATATTAGTTAATTGCATAATCTTGCCCATGAATTATTGACGCATGTTTGACCTGCATGATAGAATGTCACGTGCTTGTTAGAATAAAATTGTAATCCAGAAGCATATCGAGTGTTCCTTCCAAGTCCATGCAAAACTGTCTTATTCTTGACAACTGTATCCTGTGATGAGATATGAAAATGGAGACCTAAAATATTATAACACACACTAGGATAATCGGTAAATGAATCTATGATAATCGTGTTATCCTGATTGATAACCCTGGATAAACGAAACTAAGCAAATTATCGTAACTGCACACATTAACATAATCGCAAGCCTCCGCATAAATTACTACGATTATCATAATTTATGCATATAATCACACGCATTATCATAATTTATGCGTATTAATACACACACTATCATAATTAATGCGATTTGCGCATTTTTCGGAAAATTATTAATTTTTATTATTTTCATCAAATTTCATAATTCCAAGACATACAACAAATGTGATAAGAGGGTTTTCCCCTTTTTTTATGGAAACAAAACAAGTGTTAAAATGTTAAAACACCAAACTGAAACCTTTTACAAGGAATCAAGTCTGCATTAACCACAACGCTTGTGATCAGAATATAAACAAAAACATACTCTGAATATATATGCATTGTCCTTGAAACTGATTAGTCCGTAATAGAGTGGGCCCATGTGAAGGCTGCCATCTTCAACTTGGTTAAACACTAAGACTGCCAATTTAGTTTTATTGATTACCACAATCATGTTGATGTATTTGCTATCCTTTCTGTATGTCTCGCAGCCCCAAAAAGGGCATCTCGCATCTCCAGGGGTTGCGTGCATCCCATGTTAAGAACGACTGATGCATGCATCTGAGCGTGTACAGTATATCTGAATGAGCACGTTGTGTTCAAATGAATTATGGAGGTGTGTGTATGGATGGCTGTCTGTGTCAGCGTGTCTACGGGGATCGTACGTTGGATGGATAATTGGTAAACCGGCAATTATTTTCAGAATCGTTTACCGGTTTCGGCAAGTTAGCCAATATGAATACAAAGAAAGATGCAAGAAAATGTGACAATCCCGTATTGAGCTGAATGCAAATTGTTGAACAAACCTTGAGGGCATTCTCCATCAGACAGGGTTACATTGTCTATGCCTACGAGAGAGATTGCTTGCATGTGTGTGTCGGCCACGAACTCAAGCTGCAATGAGAATGCACAAACACACGTTGCCGTGAGTGTACACAGCAAACCCTCTCTATTCGCGAGGGTTACCTCCTCAAACGCATTTGCGAATGCGGAATTCACCAACACAGAAAGCTTGTTCCAGTGGGAAAAATTGGGTTATGTTACTGGTACGAGTGAAGATATGGGGGGCGGGAGGGGAATGGTAAATGTTTAATAACGACTGCAACAAACAATATATTATTAAGAACGTGTTTAAAAAAATTAACTTTGATGATGATGACTATGAAGGTGGTGGTGGTGATGGTGAGAAATTCAGGAGGATGACCTATCGGAGATGCAGGTGTTTGATAACAATGCCGCACAGCTGTTATAATTTTAGCACTCTGGGGAACGCTAGCCGCAACACTTTCCCCGATTGCATTTTTTTTCGTTTATACCAAAATGTATAAACGAGTCGGCTGTCAGTACGTGTAAAGTAAAAATGCACAATAGCGAGTTCAGAGCGGAATTACTGCGAGAGACTTGAGGACTTAGCGGGGAGCCGAGGTGGAATGCCTTATCATCGCGGGCAGTTTCAAATGTAAAATTCTGCGTGCACCTCCATGGTTTCATTCACTCGCGGACACTGGAGTCCGGCGGGTGTCGCGAGTAGGGAATTAGTACGCATTTAGTCACTCGGAGAAATGTGCAAAACTCTTGAATTCCAGAAGTCGCGCATACAGGGGAGGGTTTTCTGCGTTCTTAGTAATGGAAGCGTGCCCCCTCGTAGCCTCAGACTCGCGCGGCTCTCTAACCCTCACCTGGTAGTTGGTGTAGTTGATGTTGACAAGTGCCCTGCCCCAGCGTGCATTCATGCCCCAGAGGGGGGAGGCCTCCCACAGGAGAGAGCGCTGCGCGGAGTCTGTGTCCGTCGCGTACAAGGCCAGCGAGGAGTTGCTATTTGCAACAACGCTGAACCAGAAGCTCAGGCACCTGGGGCCGTTCTGATGTGTCACGAGAGGGCCCAGCAGAGTAGACATGGAGTTGTACATATATTGGTTGATGCCCAGGAAAGCACGACCTGGAAAAAGAGTGCAATTTTTTTTATATTTTTTTTACATTGTATAATACAGCACAATAGGCATGATTTGAAATATCCACAATTATATATATATACACACACAGAGATATACCTTGATAACAGGGATTCGATTTGAAAACTACTATGAGCGTACTTTTTAAACAGGTTATCTAACATCACAGAGGGCAGGTTTATGCATGGTTCTAGCCGTGACACTGTGGGAAGCGAGACGGACAGAGGCTGTGTGCAGAATTTGTTGCCAGCAGCAGGGCCTCACCCGCCGCTCTTTGTGAGCGCGAGTCGGGCCTCCGCCACTTTACGAAAAAGATCGTTGCCCGGATGACAACAAAAAAATACTCGGAAGCGAAGTGAGAAATCTCAACACATTCCACTATAATACCGTGGCCTCGTTGGAGAAATGCTTACATAACAGGCAACGTTTTGGGCAATGCCAGGAATTGTTTCCCACGTGCTTCTTAAAAGCCACTTAAGTATCATGTGCCTTGAAGAAGGGCCATTGCCCTCGTAAAATATGATTTTTCCAGCATCTACAGAAAAGTGTTGTATAACAACGATTTGACCTCCCTGCTGCCTATGGCATGGTTTGGCGCCATTGCCTGCTGCTGGAGTTGGTCAAAATCATCAGATGCTCAGCAACAGTCCTCTCAAGAGTATACACCTCGCTGATAAACACAGCCGCAAGAGAATGATCAACAATGGCCTCCCTCGAGCCTTGGCATTAGTATAGTCATTTAACACAAGTGATCTGCCATGTATGTCATCTCACAAGTTAATATATGATGACCGCACCCTTGCTGGCCCAGGGCACGAACCTCAAGGACATTGCCATTACTCTTTAATGGCTGATCTAATAGTTATTGGAGTCATGGTTCCATCGCTGGAGAGACACTCCAACCAAATCCTTCCAAAACCACCACAGGTGCGTTCCACCTGAACAATCTTGCAGATACCACCATCGTTGTTTCCTTCTCTGTGGCAGCCCAGTGCCATACACAAGAGTAGAATAGTAATGTGCAGGAGTTATAGTATGTATTACCGTGCAAAAGCTTGAGTTGTATCAAGTGTACAGATTTAAAAATATATATTTTTTCGTTTCCGGTTGCATGCATTTTTTCTGTAAATATTGTAGATTACAGTATTATACGTACTTTAGCATTATAAATATGAATGTTGGGATGTGTTCTGGTCAACCAGTGTTTGAAGGAGGATAATAATGGTCAAGTGATACACACTTAAGTACTCTCACACAGAATAGGATTTACAGCAATTACATTGAAGCATTCCTACAGCGTTATAGCATGTTGTATATGAACCGTGTGTGGTGTACATTCATTGAGATACCCACTGTGTGGAATTAGACTCAGTATTGGCAATACGTAGACATTGTTGTATTGAATTGCCGTCCACTGAACGGCATTTTCGTATTTGTTTTGCCATCCACAGAATCCTTGCTCAAAGTCACAGCCGAGTGATGTTGACGGTTCTAAGAAGAAGAAGATAAATATTGTATTAAGACGGTGGGCTAGGTACGGTGCAAAAGAATGTCAACATACATACAACAGGAACATTCGTATCATTTGGTCAGTGTTGCGCAAAATGTAGTTCTTTAATTGTAAATTCAGACCATCTTCGTTTTCATTGTTGGAATTTCTGGTACCTGTACGAACAATTCACCATGAGGCCACACTGACAGTGCTAATTAGACCAGGCGCTGTGCCATTTAACAAAGCGGCTGATCCCGCACTATCAACAACAACGTACGACTCCTTTAGCCATGGCGTCATGTGAGCTGGAGGGAACATGCTGAACTCCTCCCCCCCTTCTCTTACTATTTTCATTTTACCAGGTAAGGCCCACTGAGCTAGATAGCTCTTTTTCAAAAGCAACCTGACCACAAATGATAGCTCAACCAAGTGGCTCACTTCATCGAAATGTTTCGCAGCCAAATACTGTAAACGCATGATGTCGATTCTAAATGAGGGAAAACCGAAGGACACGAAGGAAATCTACTCGAACATGGGGAGAGAGACATGCAAATTCCAAAAAAACAGCAGGCGTCAGAGTCGGGATTGAACCTACGACCTCCTGCATACCAGGCGCAGGAGATAACATCTCACCACCACGGCGCCCCAAATTCTAAATTCTTAGTAAAATTTTTTACAACAATATTAAAAACCGAGTAGCGTTTTTTTTAAGTTCACCAGTTTGGAAAACACCCATTAACATAAGAAAATAAAGGGGGCTGGACAAGTTAAACAAATTAGTTGAATTAAGCATTGTGCATCACACAAATATGTATTAAATTAATGTGTAGCCATTCGTCATCCAGTGATGCCTGCTCAGGGCTCTCACCCTGAGCCACCCCACCACCTCTCATAGGTTTTGTTTTTTGCTCCGGCATCAGTGTGTATTTGCCATTGCACTACTCGTATAGTTCGCAAAGCAAATCAATCAGTACATGAACAAAACAACAAAAAGCAAACCTGAAGCCTTGTAAGTCACGTTAAATGGTCCATATGTGATTAATACGACTTTATTTCCAGAGGAGAGGACATTTATGTTTTCACAGTAATAATTACTGACAATGGCCAAAGTCGGCCCTTTGATGGACTGGCCTTCATGGATTTCAGCATTCCTGAAATGCAAAATGAAGATCAGTTTGTTCGCATTACCATACTTTTTATATACGGTATAACTTTATAAAGCCTTACTCGAGTAAGTCAGAATTCGGGGTAAGGCGAAATGCTTCCTGACCTGAACACTGTCTGTGCATTAATTAGGCTGCATTTTGTAGATGATATACTTAGATGCACTAGAAATTAAAGTGATGCACATACAATAATTATGGATTGTATGGAATTCAGTTAAGTTATTCCTTTGGTGCTTTGTCTGTGCTCTCTATTGTATTTCACTTGTATCTCATTGCCCCAAAATAAATGCCTTCAATCACTTCATGAGGACGTCGATGTTATTCATCTTCAAAATGTTTGTAAGATACTCGCACTTTACCCAGCAAAGTCCCTCTGCGTTGAGTTAGAGCAGTGGTTCTTAACCTTTAATGCAGCCTTGCACCCCCCCTTTGGGTTTCCATCATACTTTTTTTTATGTTAATAAATACATAGGGTTTAATGAACCAAAGTAGTTGTACTTACATGCCTGTGCTTAATTTGTATTTAGATGATTTACCTTCTAAAAAAATCTGCCCCAGAAAGAGCATCTCGCACCCCCAGGGGGTGCATGCACCCCAGGTTCAGAACCACTGAGTTAGAGGATCTATCTGGCGTGTTGCTTGGCCCTGGAGGGGACCGTTGTGGTGGCTCAAGTTGTTGTTCTGGAGACTGGGAAATCATTGATACCAATCGCCAGGTTGATGCAATTAGTCGTGATCGCTCATGTAATAGAGTGAGCCCGTGTAAAGGCTGCCATCTTCCACGTGGTTCAACATTAAGACTTTGTTTTATTGATAACCACAATCAAAATGTTGATGAATTTGCTATCCTTGCTGTATGTTGCTATCTTGATGCACTCACCAGTGGTACTGGTTACTGTCTACGAGTATATTAACAAATCAGCTACTGAAGTGGTACTGGGTACTGTCTACGAGTATATTAACAAATCAGCTACTGAAGTGCATTTACCCGCAGAAGGTTCCATTCAAGAACACAGCTTTGTCCGGACTTGTTTCAATAAGCCAGTAGCAATTGTAGCTACTGAAGGAATCATTCCCAGAAATGAAACCTTCAGTTCCATTAAATACACCTCCACAAGTCCCTAGAGAAAACAAAAACAAAGTGGTAAACCTTACCAATTATACAATTATTGGAACTTACAAAACTGTTATTTTAAAAGTGCAGTTTAAATTCACAACACAGTACTTTGATAACCACGTTCATAAAGTATTTTAAAATCTTGATGATACTATATTTTCATTTTTCTAATTTTACCAGGCAAGGCCCACTGAGCGATCCAGCTCTTTTTCAGAAGCGACCTAGCCACAATAACTCAACGAAGTGGGCATAGCATCACGTGGACATTTATAGCAGGCAAACACTGCTAAATGTATGTTTATAAATGTGGAGGGAAAAACCAGAGAACCCGGAGAAAAATCCACACGACCACAGGGAGAGAGACCTGTAAACTCCAAATATACAGGGTTCAGGGTCAAGGTCGAACCCATGAACTCCTGCATACCAGGCGAGGCAGATAACATCTCGCCACCGCGGTGACCTTCGTGCTAGTTCATGCTACCTCATACTATTAAAACGTGAGAATCAATTGGAATCGATCAAAATCCACCCAAGCAGAGGGCTGTTTTATGTTAGGGGCTGATCCGTGCCACTGGCAGACCCGGATTAACAAAAGCAGGTGGTGTGGGGTAGGTAGCTGGCGATTAGAGGGGTAGTTCCAATGGAGGGGATAGGCAGGGAGAAAGTATTGGGTGCCATTCCTGCAGTGCATCGGAGTGCGGCACTGCAGGTCAAATATTTAGACCGGGCAGAATATATTATTGTCACGTGACAAACCACACTTTTCTGCAGTAAGGAGGTGTTCCCAACTAGTGTTGGACAAGCGAGGGATAGTCGGTTGAGTTTGGCCCCTGTTGAGATTGCCACCTTCTGAATGTTGAGTCAAAAAATGCTCTGCCCACAGTGCCACCTCGCCATATTCCTCACTTTCAATAATGTTGCCTCAGTATCACCTACGATAACCGACTGCAAAGAAACGTGAATTACCTTGGAACCAGTTTTGTGAAACAATGAAAGCAAACGCTCCAGAAGAATTCCTTTCACCGGATCTCAACACCACCATCATGCTGCCATGGGACTGCGGGCTCTGGCTGGGAGGGCTGTTGCTGCACAGTGAGTCCAGGATCACGGAGTGTACATTTTCTCCATTGTACATGGTCAAGGAATCTCCCACGCATCTGCTGTGACTCTGCCCTTGTGATGAATTGTCAGCATCCATCCTGCACAAAAAGACAAATACAAAGACCCCCCGTGTAGCCTTAACAGACTGTTGGGGCAAGTTCTGTTAGCGAGTAGGGCCTATGAAGGTTGGCACGGCACACAAGGGGGTGGGTGGCCAGCACCATTAAGTCAAGGTATAGCCCAGATAATCTCCCTTTTTGGGTTGATAATTACAAGTACAACTTTTTGAGCAGTCAACAGCATGAGTGGTATGGAGAGACTGACATCAGTAACAGGTATGTTGAATATTATTTTCTGAATTGTTTATCGTGTAATATACCTTTTACTGGAAGATGTACAAGCTACATTTTCAACAAGTGGTCCTCAGCTGAGACTGGCTCATAGTTGAGTTTGAACACTGCAATGACTTGGACATCCTTCTATAGACCACCTCGATGTATTTGTAAAGTTCTTCATGCAGTCACACTTTTGACTTGAAGGCAATACGTTTATTACACAGTCCAAACGGCCTAACTACACAACGTACACACGTTAACTAGACCCCAACAGGCTCACTACATAACCGGGTCAGTCAGCAACGTCCTGACTGACCCATGATGCAGAGCGAAGACCGAAGACCAGAGAGAAGTAGCGCCGAGGGTTTATTCCAGAGAACAGCCAAGAACGCTCTCGGGACTGCCCCTTTATGCTCCTGAGCATGGCCTCGCTCCGCCCTCGGCCATGCACCCTTCGAGATCTTTCCCGAAGGATCCCGACCGAGCATCACGTGTCCCTCAAGCCCCCTTTGCTACCCTGTCCGGGTCACGTGCCCTCTCGGGTTCACCCAGACTACCCCGTCCTCACTTGCCCTCTCTCAGGTCGTCACCACGACTATGCCCCCTAGGGCCTGCTCGCATGCTGTACTCACTCTGGCCCCCGAGAGAGGTCCCAGATGCACAGTAGCACTCTTGTGACAGTGGCTGGCGCTAACACCATAGTGACACCATTAACGTCACTACATATGTAAGTTGAACTTCTATCGCACCGTATGTATGGCACACTGACTCATCGGCATTACCCACCTGAAATCCATGAATGACAGTGAGATGCCACGGCTTGGTGCCTTGAAGATCCAGACGCACTCCAGGTTGCTGGGGTAGTTGTTGGGGAAGTTTGGAGACAATATTAACAGGTTGCTGTCTATATCCAAAACGCCTCCACAGTGGCTTTCAGCTGAAACACAACACAAGCATTGCATGTGATTAAATTAAGGTTTAAGGTTCCTTTAATCGTTGGGTGTGATGGCATAAGTCATTTCCATTTTTTCAAATGCCATTGCAGAACATATGCTTCTTTGGAAACCAACGTATTCGTTTTTTACACTCACACACTTGAAGTCTACCCTGCTCATCATATTCAGTCTGCTGCAGTTTGAAAGACTCCTGATTTGGAGTGTGTTAGCCAAATAGATGAGGTGAAGAAGAAAGCCAACGTAGGACCACCAGGACAGACAGCTACATTTGCTCATGCGCATGTTGTTTCCCTACCACTGTAATTATACACCCAATGTGACAGTGGCATAGGTACCTGGTGTAGCATAGAAATATCCATGTAGGTACAGCCAACCGTTGTTTGTCTTTGTGACGACAACCCGCACCGATTCAGTGGAGGACACGTAGTTGTAAAAATACACATTTCCTGGTAGGTCTGTGACATGATTCAGTGGGCCGTCATAAATCCGAATGCTGTTGTTGTCGTTGTTAAACCTGCAACACAACAAAAATTATTTTCACTACATTGTTACTCTGTGATAGAGGTTTCGCCAGCAGTCCCCGACTTACGAACACCCGCACTTACGAACGAGCTTCCTTAAGATATTCATTTTGTTATAACCATCCAACGTGCAGACGCGAGCTCCTACTTGCGAACCGAACCGCGGAACTATTTTGTTCAGCGGAGCGATCCTTCACGATATGTAATGAGTCCCAGCATCCTGCTGGAAGACAGCATTGATGCATGTCTGTGCGTGTGTGTGAAAGTGTGTGTGTGTGGGAGCGGTAGTGTAGCGGTTAACGCGCGCTGCGCTATGAACCTGGCAACCCGGGTTCGATTTCCGCTCACGGCCAACACCGGGTGCAACCGAAAGAAAACAAAAACATGAACAAAACTAGAAATGGAATGAACGTGAACAATGACGATTTACGTGACCAGGCAGATGGCAGAGCTGCGCCATCTCTCCCTCTGCGCCACACTGCTCCTATTCGTTACTTGTCGAGTCTAATTCCTAATTCGGCACCTTATGTGTGCGGTGTGTGATGATCGCACCCAGGATGGTCCGGGAACAAATGCTTCAATAACAATGAAAAACGCGAACAACAGTAGCGCACGGCTCACTCCCAACTTACACCATAGTTCTGCCTTCACCGACTAAAGAAATGCTGGCAAGAAAACGCCTGCACTTCCTTTAGCACGTTGACAAATGTAAGTTGTCTTACACTTGCGACCAGTATTTGCCCGAACTGTCTACCCATACTAATGAGGAGATATTTACGATGGATGTGTGGAATGCGTGTTATCAACCACAACAACAAAAAAGACTTACATTTGAAAGTTGATGGTCACCACCATTCCTTGCGGCACCGAGATTTCCCAGGTGCACGTTTCCCCCATGTAGTAGGAGTACATGAACTGGCCGGTCGACGCGTTCAGAGCTTGGCCGCAGCTGCTCGGAGACTCCGTAATGTTGAACCAAGGCTCCGTCGTGTTGAACGGAGGCCACATGCCGCTCGTGGTGTAATTCAATCCGGGGTAGGTCGTGGTAGCGAACGTCAGGTTGTGGCCAGGCATACCTAATTAAGACGGCGGTGGGGCAAGGGGGTTTGTGGAGAGTTAACTCGCCCGCAGGTTATGCAATTAAACGCTCGCGTTGTGCATTGTGAGACAATGTACATTCGCGCGCCATGTTAGACAGCACCGTCGAGGTGCGACCTTCTGGAAGACTTTGTCACTTGTGGAGTTGTGGTTGCACTTGCTGTTCATTAATAAAGACTTCATTGTTGCTAACGGACTATCCTCACCGATACATTCCGTTATTGCAAAGTTGGTAAAGTAACCAGAAAGAAAATACATGGTATTGACAAACTTTAAGCCAGATAGAGGCATGTGTCCCCTATGTGCAGCCTTGTGAAGCTGATGCAAGTGTATTCGAGATGACACAGGTATCCCTCAATTTACGAACGTTCGCTTTAAAAAATTTCGCTTTCAGGCGATTTAAATATTACGGACGCTTTTCGATTAACGAAATCGAATTTTCCACGTTGTTTCGAAATATCACTCCGGCCAAGGGCGCCGTGAGATTATCTAACAAGAAGCCACCCGGGAGACTGCGGCATCACCCACCCGTGACAGAGTCACGTGGTCCACATCGCAGCAGGAGCTTTTGGTGAGTTCCCTCAAAAGGTTAATATTTTTTTCAAATTAATTATTATTCAATCGTTTTCGTATTTACGTTCTTTATTTTTTACATCTTTGCATTGCGAATTGATGTATTTGTAGGTTAGGAGTAGAGTTAAATTGACTGTCCAAAACACGTCCCCTAATGTTTAGAATTAAATTAGAGGGACTCCTCTACTTACGAACATTCGACTGAGGAACTTTCAGAGATACAAACAAACCTGTTTAGACCGAGTCGTAAGTTCAACCGCCGCGCAATAGATGGCGGTGGTGGCATCTATTACATTTGTTTATTGTCTAAAGTGATATAGGTGTATGTTTTGATATGCGTAAGAAACACATCTATTTTTTTTATTAATGGGAAAAACCTTTTCAATTTACGACATTTATTTTTACGTGTGTTTTCTGAAGAACACATCCCTTTCATAAATCGAGGGATACCTGAACTTACGGTTTCGCTTCATTGCTACTAAACAAAATTATTTAAAAAGTTATATTTGACGAGGTAAGGCCCACTGAGCTGTATAGCTCTTTTTTAGAAGCGAACTGGCCATCACAAATGATATAGGCCAACCAAGTGGCTCATCACGTGCACATATATAGCAGCCAAATACTCTAAACGCATGTCTCTAAATGTGGAGGGAAAACCCGGAGGACCCGGAGAAAAATCCGCACGACCTCGGCGAGAGAGACACGCAAACTCCAAATATACAGCAGGCGTCAGGGTCGGGATCGAACCCACGACCTCCTGGATACCAGGTGAGGTAGCTAACATTTCCCCACTGCGCCGCCCAGCGGCGAGGTCACAAGTTGAGGTGCGCCCTCTCGTACCGTGTTGTGACATCTGGGTGGAGAGGTAATGCAGTCGTAAGCGAACTGCGCCATTGTCTCAGCTACTCGCATGATGGCGGCTTCGTGTCGCAAACGAGGAACATCTAGCTATTGCAACTCATCAAGCTCACGGCAAAAACATTTTCCCCTAACGTGAGTCTTGCCGCTGTGGAATTTAGTTTTAGCAGACCGTGGGGGGCACCTCGAATGTTTATCAGTCGGGATTTAGAAGACTTGGATCAGACGAGTTTCACTGTGCTGTGTAAGAAATGTATCCATAATTGAGGTCCTTTTGGGATAGATCACGTATATATAAATGTGTCGTTAAACCCGCCACCACCCGACACAGCCAATTAGTAAGATGTGTTACGTAAACAAAACATGCCAATTAGTTACTAGTTTAGTACTCCAGTGTGTTGGAGAGTAAACCCACAACATTCATAATTCGAGTAATTACAGCAACCCGCCTCATCAGGCGACAGCCAGAATTGTGGACAAATCATCCTCCTGTTTCGGTCTTAAATAGAGGGGTGAATGTGATGTCATAATTACAATGGATATCTTTATTCTTGGTTGGGTTATTTAAATTTAATAAACATACATAATTTATGTACATTGTTAATTTGTAGTGACATAAAATCGGTCACTTAGCAGCATAGCGCTTGTTGCTGGCAGGGAAGGGATCTGCAGTTATAGCAGCCCTGACTGACAGCAAGTCACGTGATAGACCAGAGAGAGGGATGTAGGGGAAACGTTACAGAAGGGGCACGTGGGGGAAGCCTGGGAACCTGCTGGTAGGTTCTAGAAAGGGGGCGTGGGTGGGGCGAAGCGAGGCCGCGCTGGGAGGATAAAAGAAGGGGGAAGGGGCGAGCAGGAGCTCGGGGCTGTCGTGTGGAGTGGGATCCCGTCGTGCTGCTGGAGTCTTCGTCACCGTCTTCACCATCTCGTCGTCGTCAGTCAGGCAGTCTGCCAGCTCTCCTGACTGGGAGCTGTAGTTACCAAGTGTGAACTGTTAAGGCTGTTAACAAACAGAGTGCCTCTGAGTCAGTCACTACACATGCAACATTACACATGTACAGTCTGCCGTTTTGAAATGTAATTCACATTGTTAATCTTGCTTCAGTTTACCAGATGATCCAGGTCGTGATGGTGGTGTTATGGTTGTGCTGATTGTAGCTGATGTCTTGTATACTAGGGAAAACAAACAAAACAATGAACATAAAATACACATCACTGCCGCGTGTACAAATGCTAACCACAATTATCGTGGGAGGAGAGGGACACTTTTATAAATTTATTTTCAGTAGCTTACAATAAAGATGACAAATTAATTAATTGATTATATGCACCCGCGATCCCGAATGTGAGGGAAAAAGCGACCCCCCCCCCGCTTGATACAGAAGTAAAACTCCGCCTGACAATAATAATTGTATTACTGTATTACGCTTGTTTACCCTATTTCAGGAGGTTCCTACCAAGTTTTTTCACAAGGGGGGAGCAATGTTTGCCACCCATAATTCCAATTGAATAAATTTGTGGATACATTTTTTTCCATGCACCGTTTTAAGTAATATTAATTCATTATTTATCCACGTTCATATTAATGCTTTTCATTTTCATATAACGTTTATTTATTAAAATGGTGTGTTTAAATATTCTAAACGGTCTTTTTCGGGTGAAAAAGGTCAACTTCAGATTGTCTTGGAACAAATTAAGCACCTTTAACATGCATTTCCTAGATTCGATTAAATGATAATTTCAGTTAAACGATGGTTTTCGTGGAACCAATTAATATCGTTAACGGAGGGAACCCCAGGTATTCGGTTGTAAGAGTTGGGGTGATTGCCATCCATGGTGGGGTTATCATCTGTTAGCTTACCTTGACATAGAAGAGCCACCACGAGGAGGCTTCCAAGGAACCCCATCTTGATCGGTGTCTCAAATTGATTTTTTTACTGTGTTTTACTGAAAAAGATGAGCACGTGTTAATAAATTAGGACACGTTTTAATATTAATAAACAAAATAACTTAAAATTAATTTTCTTCTTCTTCTTCAAAATCCAGTCTGTAGGTCGTGAGCCTTCTCTGAATTTGTTAACAGTGGGAGGATATGTTTTATTTGTCACAACGTTAGAGCTAAACAATGGTTTTCATGGAAAATAAATCACACGAAATTCGAGTGTCTCCCTGATAAAGTAAGCAATGAGGTGCTCAGACCTGTTGGGCAGTCCACAGTATCTGTAATTCTACATTACCATGACAGGGATAGCAGAAATAACATTTTCATGAATATCGGTACAATTGTACAACTTTGCATTTTTTGTAGGAGGGACACTGTTTATTTTGTAATATTCCCCCATTGTTATCCCGATAGTATTACCATCGGCGTCACGTCATGACGTGAAGAACCCATCAGTCCTCTGGCAGAGCAGCGCGACCCCTTACATTGGAGAATAGCCCACAGAAGCAGATAATATAGCACTACCTCTTAGATCCCTCTAAGTGACCTCAGGTGAAAATCGTATCAGCTTGCGGTTTCCCACCCGCGTCTGCAATTTCAAAATTGACAGTGATACTTTCATTCTCAGAGCTCTTGAATTTATGCAGATTACACGCAGAGCCAATCCCATGTAAGGAAAGGTCTTCTTTATCGGGGAGGCAAGGATATGTTTCACTGCATTCGACACGATTTGTACCATTGTGCTGAGTCCAGCGATGCACATGTAGTATTTCTACCTTCAGTACACGTAGAATGGATTGAGAGCAAAACCTACAACACATACAAGTACAATCAAACTCCCTATACCACGATGGTGTGAACGATGAACGTCGCTTATTATCGGTGATGTTATCCGCAAATGTATTCCACTTATCCGCAAAAAGAGATTGAGGATAGTCATACATTGTCGGAAGAATTTGCCACGTGCCTTCACTCATCTGCGAAAAAAACCTATTTAGATAGAGTAATAAACCCCGGTATATGCCGGGGGGATACGCTCCAGAAAGGCGCGACGACGAATATCGAAACGACATACAATCTAAGGGATTTACGAAGTATTAGTCGTGGGTGGTGGAGGTTCAAGCCTGCGAGGCGACGGATAACGAGAAAGGAAGGACGGTGCCGTCAGCGACGTTAGTGTGTGGGTTGAGACGACGCTAATCGGGTGGTGTTAATCATAAAGTGACGATGTATTTTCGAACCGACGTTAAAAGTGGGGAGAGACGTAAATTGGGGTATTACGGTAAGAGGAAGCCATTCCACAATGCAGGATGGGGAAAAAAACTGGACATTCCTGGATAAAAGTAATAAGGGGTTTGGTGTAATAGGAGTTTACATAGACACTCCAGCTCCCTTGAAGATAACAAGAGTCTTTGGCATGTGCAGAGTTTGCGGGCGGGGCACGGGGTAACGCCCCTCCAAAACTGAGCACGTGTAAGCATGCTAATACTATTAGTTTCACACTTTATGCATTCAGAAACAAATATCTCCTTTTACTAACCAATGCACGAGTTTCAATGTACTATACCTGTATTCCATTTAATTTAATCAGAACCCATCTGTTATTCATAGTTTCTTGTTCTTTCAAGTAAGTATAGCTGGTGGGACATTTATTAATTGACATTATTATCACCGACTCTTATATCTCAAGAGAAAGAGCGTACAGGATTATTCGTTTGTGGCATAACACTTACACTCACGACATCAGTGCTTCGCAATCCGGTACTGTCGTTTCAAAATCATGTACGGTGGACATTTCCCTGTGATGCGTCCCTTTCCTTGGCTACGTATGTCTGTTGAACTTCTTTCGCATCGTACGTAGCCAACCATGCTCATCGGAGGTGCGAAGAGAGTTTTAGACCATACCTCCCTACCCTCTCAACTCCCTCGGTCGTAAATGCAGTTGGGCAAATAGACACGGAGACACGTTCAGAGTCACACACAGAGACATGACAAGGACCCCTCACCCCCCAGAGCCTCACCAGACGTTTTGGGCACATGCTGTTAGCGAGCACCTATTAATAGTATTTGGCTGCTTTCACATTTCCACGCGATAAGACACTTCTTTGAGCTATAATTTGTGGCCAGTCGCTTCTGAAAAAAGAGCTGCATAGCTCATTGGGCCTTACCTGGTAAAATAACAAAACGTTTAGTTTAACTAAGGCCGACACGGTATACAAGTGGGTGGCCAGCACCACGCCCAGCCGCCTTCATCTCCCCAGTAGCGATGTTTACACACCGCAACATTTATTCATTTGAGGCTGAGTCGATCTAGGGTAAAGCCCAGGACCGGTTCAGGTAATCGTCACTGATGGTGGCCGTGACTGGGAATTGAACTGGGGTTGCCTGCATCGGAGCGCAGCACGCTAACCACTGTGCCTCCACTCCCCATGGAGACGCATACACAACCATGGAGACATACGAATACACTCAAGCAGTTGGGCAAAGTCTTGTCATGGACTTGTGCTCTGCTTGGGTTTTTTTTATTTTCGATGAGATCAGTGCGAGCATGGGTTTTGGAATTCTCCTCTCCCAGGTACAGCACATTGCTACCCACCCACCCCAGTATCACAGTGAGTTGTCGGTTCAGTGTGCCGAGATGATCGATTAAGCAAGAAAATGAGGGCCATGAAATGAAAAGGTTGGAAAAGAACTCCACAACGTAACTTTTAAGGGCCGTGATTTTTCTTTAAAGGTGTATTTAATTCTCCTGCACTCTTGTAATGTGTAAATACTGACACTTTTGAAAAACTGCTGGGAGTTTTCGGCCGAGTTTTATCATCGTCTGACGCGTATGTTGTGTTTTTTTCGCACAAACTGTGCTAAAAACTCAAAACTTACACCAATTAAGGAATTTTGAGATTAAACAGAATACACCTTAAGATGTGCTTTAAAAAACTTATGAGGTTTTATCTCTGTTAAGCTTCAGGGTAAACTTAGTTTGACTCGTTTGTATGTTGAACTTCTTTCACACCGTACGTAGCCAACCGTGCTGTATGTACGTGGATGTATGTTGAACGTCTTTTGCACCGCGATAATCGGAGGTGCGGGGGAAGGACAACAAACTATGGGTCCATACTCTTGGGTTCTTTCGGTAAAGTCACGTAGGTAGAAAAAATAATAGATCACGACGTTTCGAGTATGGATTCCTGCAGTCACGAAAGCTTCAAATCAAGATTAAACTATGGGTCTCTGTGTGTGAATAGGGCACGCGGGAAGCAACTATGTTGAAAGACAAGAAGTGCAAAGCTATTTTAGGGTTTTAAAATTAAGGAGACCTATGTTATTCCACATCACCTCGGCTGCCAGTGAACGTGTTTCAGATGAATGTTGTATGCAAATAAGTGACATGACAGTATTAACATATAACGTTATTTTTAATTCCGACAAGGTGGCATTCTGACCACAAGTATTGTGATGAATGCAAACATGATTCCTTGTAAAAGGTTTCAGTTTGGTGTTTTAACATTTTAACACCTGTTTTGTTGCCAGAAAAAAGGGGAAAACTTATTCTCAAGGTGGACACAGATATATGCATCCTTTGAAAAAACGCACAGCCTACTCGCGAACAGGATATTTATACACCCTCTGTACCGCATCTTTGTCTGAACACATTCACTTGGGATGTGGTGAATTGGTTTTACGTCAAAAATGAGCTGCACGTGAGATGGATCCCCGTCCAGTTACGCTCAGAGTTGAGGTTTGAGAGTCGACTGTAAAAACAGCACCATTACTCACAGCTCATGGTGCCAGTCCGTGACCTTCAAATGCAAACAATTCCATTTTGGAAAATGTTAAATTATATGGCCTACTTCTTAAGGGGAAAACCCAGTGAGGGTAGTTAAATTGTAACTTGCGATCTAAATGCCTAGTTTGGTATTATTAATTCCTTGGGCAGCAGCATTCTGCGCATACAAGAAGTTATCATGAATGACCAGCAAAGCCATGTGCTGCAGAAGGCAATGCTGAATTTAACAAAAGTATGGATTATATCATGAAAAATGGCAGCGCTCTGCATCAGAACAGGTAGGACGATACTGGCATTGTTCCACAGACGAATAAAATAAAACATTGCCGCTATCGCTGACTAAGCTTTCGTGGATAGTAATGAGTAAAAACTGAACGAAAAATGTGTCACTTTGGAACATGAGTGTATCACATGTCCCCGTCAATATATGGTCCATGAATGTGAAACTAGAAAATCTTTTTTGAAACAAGCACGTAGTTTAAATAGTAACACTTTCACATTTATAAGTTATCTTGTCTGAAACAAGAAGTTTACAGAAAGACTTTAAAATTAACGGTCTGGATGTGAATGATGCTTGCATGAGTGAGAGTTTGCTAAATATTAAACAATGCGACATTCAACAGCAGTGGGTTGATGTCATGATATTATGATGTTCATATGATATGATGTTAATACGATGTTATGATGTTGATATGATGTTATGCAGAGTTAACAGATAAAGGGAAATGCAATACCAAGGAGAGTGGGGTATTGCACGGAAATTATTTCTGACCTCAATTTTCTATCAACGTTTGAGGTGTTGCAGAGTAGATTTAATATAGTTTTTATTCAGGTTAAATGGTTCACAGAGCATGTTCTGAACGGTTTTTTGTTTGTTGGGAAAAGGTTTACAATAAGCATTGTATGTATTTACAAAATCAGTTTTAGACAGAAAGTTTAAGAATGATTGAAAGGTGCTTGCTCCAGTATTTGGTCTCTAAACAACGTCAGCGTTTGCATCGACACACAATACATTTTCCCACAAACTCTCACACCCGCACCTCCGATAAGCATGGTTGGCTACGTACGGGGCGATGAAAATTCTAAATGCAAACATACATACAAACATACATACAAACATAAACTCGGTGCATCCGCAACCAATAGTCCAGTCATCTCTTACAGGCATATCGCTTTAAGTTGTGTCGCGTGAACACGCCCAAAAGTGTGAAGTTAGCAAGAAGCTTAAAACACGCTCAGGGCAGCTCTCATCGGCCTGAGTCATGGTTGATAGATCCCAGAGGGACGATGAGCCGGGTTGACTTCTCAACTGGGGTATGAACGAATGAACTTTAACGTTGTGAGTCAAGAAGAGCAGCCACTGTGAACAGAGCGACCGACACCACGACATTTAAAGTGACCTTAATCAGTATCCCCCCTGTTAGGGCAGTGAAATACAAACATTCAAAATAGCATGCCATCGTCAGATGTGACATACCTGTCAACCCCGTTTCAGTGCCTACCTTATTACATTATTGGTCATCCCGTGCCCTTATAAATCTCAACGTTCATCACAAGGGAGAAACACAAGCAGAAATATTTTTTGCTCATATTGAAACTGCTAAATGCCGTATGGACATGACAACGCAATTGCCCTGTACAAGAATAGCGGGTAAACCGTATGTGTTGACAGCTATGGGGTGAATTTTTCAAATTCGACGGCAAAGCTTCGTAATTTCATGTTTCTTTTAACACTGAGAGTGACCAATAATGGTTCACGAAGCCGAGTATACATTTTTTTGCGTGAATTAAAACAATACCATATACCCAAGGCAAAAAAGAGACGTCGCATGCATATGGAATAGATTTACAACACAACTTACCAGGCCAGTTGGATGTCAGTCAGACCCGTCACCTTGGAGCTGCTGCTGCTGCCTTAATATACGAGCGAGCCTTCCCTTTACGCAAATTCGATGTTGCAGGTTACCAAACACGTATTTCTTGTTTCTCTTGGGGGGCGTCCATAAATGACGTCACGCGATTTTGGACGATTTTTGAACCCCCCCCCCCCCTTCGTCACACGGCGTCACAAAAAGTCAGACCCCCCCCCAAATATAACGTCACAATGCTCTGCCCCCCCCCCAAAAAAAAAAACATGCTTCAAATCACTTTAAACTATTCTCATTGTAGTGCGTATTTAATGTGGCGCTGCACTCTGATGTTGTAGGAGAAAACATTTATTAAAAAGTCTATTTAATTAAGTAGAACGTGTTGTCTATATTTATTTAAAGTTGCACATTTTTATGTGACGTCACATTTCCCACCCTCCCCCCTCGTCACGCATCGTCACAAATGTCTGACCCCCCCGTAGGTGCGTGACGTCATTTATGGACGGCCCCATAACAGCAGCGGCCTGTAACCTTCAACCCGTTCTTGTTACCACAGCGTACGAAATACTGTGCAACTTTATATACTGTGCTTGCCTAGGAATACAACTGAGAAATACCTCTTTCAGAAGTTATTAATAATTACAGAATTTTTATTATTATTAACTCAAACAAGTTTTGAATAAGAAAAAAAAAGTTTCAACATGAATTCTTAAAATGTTATCATCTTAAAGAAAACTCACGCATGGCTCAAATGTTGAAGGCAATGTGTTGTATTGTTGATATGCGTTCGCAAAAAAGACACTCCACAATTCAAAGATTTTACTCGTACACACACACACACTGGTTTTTGTTAATGTAGGTCCATAGTCAAGATCGCATACCTGTCGACCCACACGGTTTACCGCGTATTTTGTAAAGGGAAATTGAGTTTTCAGGTCCATACGGCATACAGCCGTTTCAATACGGGCATATTATGTTTGTTTGTTTCTTGTTTGTAATGGGACTCTGTAGGATGAACGTTGAGATTTAAAGGACATGGGGTGACCAATAAGGCCTGAATTGGTATGTAATAAGGTAGGCACTGATAAGGGGTTGATAGGTATGCGATCGGCCTCTATGGAGGAGGCTCGTGAAGGACGCTGTTACTGGGCAGTTGGAGGCAGTCGCCCTCCAGCAACAACGGAGGGGCAGAGGAGCGACGCTCACAACAACACAGCAAGTTGGCACAGTAGGGGGTACAGCTGGTACATCTACCGGTCATCTCTGTCAGCCAACCCATGGCACCTGAGTCTGTCCCGAGACCTGTCAGCGAGCCTGCGACCACTTCATGTGGCCTCAAAGTGCACCTAGCCTGGCACAGGCGCCGTGGTGACGTCACATTGCATGGTTAATCATTAACGGCGCACATGTTTTTATTTCTAAGTACTATACATTAATCATTAAACGTGGCAAAGATTGTTTATTACAGCAGCTAAATTGTATCCTATTTGCTTTTCCTGTTGATCAGATACGTTAAGATTAATGTCATTAGCATTGTAAAGTGTTTTCGACTGCCTACTGGAAGATGCACAGTTTGTACATAAAAATTCACGTGTTGCCAATCCGCGTATTTATCGGTCTCGTCACGTTGTAATTCCAATAAAAGTGGGCTCAGTACAGGACCCATCGCAAAGAGAAATAACGACAGATGTCCAACAATAATGATGCTACAGTAGCACCTCCGATTAGCACGGTTGGCTACGTACGGTGCGAAAGAAGTTCAACACACAGTGTACATAACATACTCATCCCAGGGAAAATGCCCACCGAGGAGATGGAGCGAATGAATCTGCTCGCGTGAAGGTGCTACCACAGTACTCGGGATCATTGACTACTTTGGCACTGCATAACCGTCAACCCCTTTTCAGTGCCTACCTTATTACAGACCAATTCAGACCTTATTGGTCACCCGTGCCCATATAAATCTCAACGTTCATCCTACAAAGTCCCATCACAAGGGAGAAACACAAACACATAGACATTGTTTTTTGTTGTTGCCCATACTGAAACGGCTGTACGCCGTATGGACCTGAAAACTCTATTCCCCTGTACAAGAATACGGGTTGAAAAGTATGGGACTGTTGGCTGCAGTGCCATGAGGGACACGACACGTGTTGGATCATTAATTATATCGCTGGGATTGAGAGACGGTGGTGGATTGAGGAATGTCCTTCATTCAGAGCGGATGGGACCATAACTGCCGATGATGCATTTGACATTTTATTAAATATATATTTTAATCGTATTATTTGAAAAAAAAACGTTTATTTTGCATGATTACCTGTCGGAATGCTGTATGTACACACACATTCACACCCGTGAACTGGACCTGAGGCTCTACCCCCGTGTACCCTTAACAGACGTTTTGCATCATGTGCTATGTAGGCCGGCACGGCCAGCACCACGCCCAACCGCCTTTGCATCTCCAGGGCCGATATTTACACACCGCACCAGGTACTCATTTTGCAGCTGAGTCGACCTAGGGGAGACCTAGGACCGATTCAGATAATCGTCACCGGTTCTGGCCGTGAGCGGGAATTGGGTCGCCGAGTCTGTGGTGCAGCGCGCTAACCACTACATTACCGCTCCCACCAGCAACAACAACAATCACCATTCGCCACTAAGTGGCGGTGATGTCACGACAGCGCTTGTGCCAGGCGATGTGCACGTTGAGGCCACGTGAAGTGTCGAACGCCCGCTGGCAGGAGGTCACGGGGCAGACTCAGGTGCCACAGGTCGACTCACTGAAATGAGTGGCCGATGCGCCACCTGTGCCCCCTACTGTGCCAACTTGCTGTGCTTTAGCCACCCGGCACTCCGTTCGTTGTTGTGAGCGTCACTCCTCCGCCCTCTGTTGTTGTTGGAGGGCGACTGCCTCCAAATTCCCAGGAGCATCCTTCACGAGCCTCCTCCACAGAGGCCGATCTTGGCACCGCTGGTATCAGTCATCGGCAAGTTCACTCGGCTCCACATCCTCCTGTACTACATCACTCCATCTCCTTTCCATCCCATGTCGCGCCCGTTTAGCCCGCTCTATTCAGCCGAACAACAGCTGTTTAGGCATGCGGTGGCTGGGCATGTGGGCTACATGACCCAGCCAACGCAGCCTTGCCTGCCGGAGGAGCTCACCGATGAGACTTTGTCCAGATCTTTCAAGGATTTGTGAGCTCCTCACACAATCCAGCCTGGTTAAACCCAGGATGGATCGTAGGCAGGCCAGCCTAAATGTTTCTAACTGGCGAATATGTTCCATTAGGGGAGTCCACGTTTTGCAAGCGTAGAGGAGGGAGGGCATGACTGTGGTTGAGAAGACCTGAAGCTTCGTGTGGAGCAACAGACCAGGTAGCTTCCACACAGCGTTGCGCAACTGATGAAAAGATAATGCCACTCGACTGATTCGGAGTGAGACCTCTGCTGTCAATCCGGAGCCAATCATGAGCACACTGCCCAGGTATGGGAAACTCTCCACTCTCTACACAACTGTCCCATTGTGGTGGTCAAGGTTGACACCAAGGTTGACACAGGTCACACAGGTCACACAAGCTAGGGGAGAGGTACGTACCGGTCTGGACCGGCCCGGATTGACAGGGACGAGAGGTGGTTGGAACGGCTCTGAGGGGAGGGGGCTGGCGAGAGCCAGGGCCCGAGACACCCCCGCCCCTCAGAGAGAGGGGATATATAAGACGGCTCCCGGAGAGCGGAGGGGTCGATCGGAGGAGAAGCTGAAGGAGGAGAGCCGGAGATCCTGGACCCCCAAGTCTCAAGGATGCCGCCCCGCTGGAACTGAGTGGGCTGAGTAGCTGTAGGCTAGGGAAGAGAGTAGCTGAGTAGCTGTAGGCTAGGGAAGAGAGTAACAGAGTAGCTGGAGGCTAGGGAAGGAGAGAAATGAGAATAGAGCCGGAGGCTGTACCTCCCTAGGTTGTGTGTGTGGGACTGTCTCCCCAGTGAGTCCTGAGGACTAGTGTTATCGGAATAAAAGCATGTGGCCTCTACGAAGTGTCGGTCTCATTCAAGAATACTACACCATCACCAATTGGGAGTAGTGGCAGATGCATAGTTTTGGTAGCGCTGATGGTAAGGCCCCACCTCTTAGTGGCACGCTCCAGGTTCAGCAGCAGCGCCTCCAACTACTCATCTGAGTGAGCAGAAATTACCAGATCATCAGTATACATACCATGGTTGAGCAATAGGGAGCCATCCCTTGACCGCACCCTGGCATCGATCAGCCTCCCATTGTATCTGTACCAGATGGAAATTCCTCCGGTATAGCTATTGAAGGCTTCACGAACTACGTGGTCGAAATAGATGTTAAATAATGTGGGCGTCAGAGGACATCCCTGTCTCACCCCAAGGTGAACAGGGAATGGCTCCAACTCCTAGCCACGTAGTTTTACCTGGGCCCGCTCACCATCATGAAGGTCCTTAATGATCATGAGCATAGAGTCAGGGACTCTGAAAGCATGAAGAACAACCCAGAGCCCAGGCATACTGATGGTATCATATAGGTCTTGTTGGAATTCCCTACACCTCAGCTGTAGCAGACGGACAGAAAATATGGCATATATGCAGGACCGCCCTTTCCTGAAACCACATTGGGGCTACTCTGAAACCACATTGGGGCTACTAAGATCACATTGGGGCTCCGCGATGTTGAATAATCCTTGCCAGGACCTTTCCCGGCACACTGAGGGGTGAGATGCCCCTGTAGTTGTTACAGTCTGTGCGGTCCCCCTTTTTAAATAGGGCCCCCACCAGGGCCTTCTTTTAATCCTGCAGAACCCATCCAGTGGTCCAGACTGTTGTTATGATGTCATGTAGGGCAGTCTGTGTACAAACGCCACCCTCCCTCAGCATTTTGCTTGGGAGATCATCTTTGCCCGGTGCCTTTCCTGGTCTCAGAGTCTGGATCGCCTTCAGTACTACCTCAACAGATGGCACCTCAGCCAGCCACTCACAAGGGGTGACTTCTTCCTCCAATATTTGAGGCACCGCAGCCTCAGCAGGGTCATCCCCACTTCTCCCCTTGATGTT